TGCTTAAGTTTGTTTTTCTTAAACACTTCCTTTGAAGCTTTCAGACTATTAATTTCCTTTGAACGAATGGTTTAGAATCTTAAGCTCTGGGCCCCATAACAGAAAATTATAAAGGGGACTGACCCATATTATGCAAACTGCCAATGGTGGGAGACGGAGCTGGGAGGCATAAACAATTGCCTTATACTGTACCAATAATAGTGGCTTTCTTTGAAAGGGCTCATGAAACCTACAGGGTACAGGAGCAAAAGACATGGGCTGCTGGTACTCTTTAATCTTAAAACTACTTTGCATAACATTAGTCATCATAAAGAGAATTTCTAAATCTGTAGATTTACTTTTTGGCATCTGGAAACAAATAATTATCCAGTAGGCAGAAGCTGGGCAACTGAAATAGCTAGAAATTAGACGAGAATTAGGAAAAATAATTCGATCAATTAGTGATCAGTGGAATGGGCCAGCTGTTCTTGATGAGCAATACAGACTGTAACAGAGAAATACTAGATTTTGTTGCCTACTGACTGCCATCAATGAACAGAGTGGGGGGGGGGGCAAAAGCAGGTTTACAGTTGTTTGAATGGAAAATATTACAATAATTAATAAATAATAATACAAGAATGAACTCTTGTGTTTCGCATACTCACAACTGTAACCCTATTTTTGCTCCACTCTTTATAATAAAATCTTGTCAAGAGCCGCTTATTAACAAAAGCCTAGAGAAAGCCCAAGAAAACTTTAAATCCTTCTCTACATCATTTCGGTCTGTCTTAGGTAGTAAGAGCTAACATCACTTTTTACTCTGTGTGAGGCCATGCTAGTTGCTTTACAGGCACTACTATTACATTTCATAATCAAAACAACACTGTGGGGTAGTTACTTTTATTGTCTCCATTTAACAGGTGAGGAAAAAAGGTTCAGAGAGGTTAAGTAACCTCCCCAAGGTTGCACACTGCAGGACAGTGGGGCCTGGACCTGGGCCCCAGAGGGCTGATCTGAAAGATCTCATTCTGACTATCATATTTCACTGCCTCTCTCCCATGTTGTCTTCATAGCTCATGCCTCTGTTCTGTAGTAACTTCAGTGAGCAACTTGTCAGAACTGTGGCCCTATAGTGAACACATTTTTTTATTTTTTGAGATTGAACATGCTAAGTTTTTGCTGTTATAAGCAGTAGCATTTCCCTTTCCCTCCAGATTGAAAACAACAACCGCGCCCTCCGCCGTCAGCCTGCTCCGCGCGCACTCCGCACCTGAGTATTTCACGTCAGCACTGCGCCTCCTCTGAGTCTGGGTATGATATTCTCTTTCCTCCTAGTTGTAGAATTTACAGTTAGCCAGGCTTCCTGTGGTTCTGGATGATGTCCGTATTGTTTTTCTGAGGTATTAATCAATTGTTGTGGGCGGCATCAACTTCCCGGTGTTTATCCCTGCCGCCATCTTAGTTTCTCTATTTACCAATTTGAGGAAAGTTTTGGCTCTTTTCTCATGAAATATTTTTCTGCCTCATCTTTTTCCTTTTCTTTTGGGACTCCAATTACATGTATGTTAGACCTTTAGATATTGTCTCTCCTACAAGAGTGATCTTTTAATGTAAATCTTACCTTTTCAACTTTATTACTT